ACTGAAATTCAATGACCTGTGAATGTTTGATGTAACAGAAGCCTGGCTCCCCCAATAAAAATCCCCAATCGAACAATAGTAATTCAATACTACAAATCTAAGTCCTCTGGGATTCGATCTCCTTTACACTGAAGTTTCAATTCAACAAACATGCATTAAATGATGTGCAAAGAACAAGAAAGTAGGTGAGGCGCTGGGAAAGCAGTATGAATGAGCCTTTCAGGAGCTTGCACTCTGTCAGAAGAGAGGTTTAAGCCAATGATTACAACACGGTGTGGTACTTCAATATCAAAAGTATGTGTATCCTCACAAATAAACATGAAACTATCTCATAATAGGCATATAAAAATAATAGGCAACTCATAAAAGAATACAAATGATCAACAGATCAAACCCACTGTTTGCCTATGTAATCAGTGTATTTTTAAAAGCTCATAATATCCACTGTTGGTGGGAGGTGTGGGAAAATGGTCATTCTTACACTCTTACTAGGCTACATTTCTACAGAATAATTTGGAAAGCTGGTCATTTAAAGCCATTTAAATGTATATTCTTTGTCTTGGAAATTCTACTGGTTTCAGTGAATGGATAAATTAGTTTCACTAACCAAAAGAAAAAAAAAAATAATTCAATTTTAGAATGACAACTTTGGTTTAATAGTGTAAATTTCACACTCCTACAAGATATCCAAGTAAGCAGTTGGACATTCGTAATAATTAGCATTTACTAATGGATTTTGCTAATCTTACATACATTATTTCATTTAATCTCTCCAAAATTCAAAGCCATCTGTATACATCGGCAGGACCAAGCTTCAAACACAGCTCTTAAGCCAAAGCTCTTAGTCAATATTCTATTCATCATTCATGGGTATGACGCCTGGCAGAAAGGTCCAAGATAGAAACATACATTTTGCAAGTTTATCTTTCGTTTATTCCTTCATTCAGCAGACATATATTAGGTACCTAAGGTTGGATCTAAGGATACCAAGAAAGTAAAGTTAAATTTCTTCTCCTTAGGGAAATAAAATAGGCATGAAAACAAAAAATTGCAATCTGATATGGCAGTGATAATAGAAATAATAAAGAGGAATAATACTAACCCCCAAAGAAAGAGAGAGTAGTCAACTCTGCATCGGAGACTCATCAAGGAAGGTTCTAAGAAAGGAAGACAATGCTTGGCCATGATTTTGAAGGATGGGTGAAAAAAAAAACATCCCCCAAGTGGACAGGAGAAGCAGGTAAGGAATTTGATTCCAGAAAAAAGGCGTTGAATATACAGAAGCATTACTTACAGCAGCATGGTCAGTACAAAGAAATACATGTAGGTCACCACAGTGATAAACGGACAGTGCCCTTTAACCACTCTCTAACTCCCAACCTCTGCTCCTCCAGATGTTGCAGAAAAAAAGAGAGGAAATATAAAGCCTTCCACTCTCTTGAATTGCATTTTCCAAAGAGGTCCACACCTCTAATCTCCCCTCCAAACTAAGAACTGGAAAGGGACTAGGCAGCTTCCCTTGTCAATGAGGAGAAGCAGTGATGTAGTGACACTCTCCAAAACAGCTTCCCAATAGCACTGCTATCTACTGCTTCACACAGCCTTTGGTTTTCTTCATGGCCTTTATTTACTAACTAAAATTCCATCATCTATTCATTCTTTTCCTTGTTTATTGCGTTTCTCCCTCATTAGGATATAAGCTCCAGGAAGGCATGAGATGGGCCTTGTCTATTCTATTCACCACTGTGTCTTTTGTTTTTCTTTCTGAGACAGGGTCTGGCTGCAGTGGAGTGATGTGACCATGGCTCTCTGCAGCCTCAACCTCCCGGGCTCAAGCAATCCCCCCACCTCAGACTCCCAAGTAGTTGGGACTACAGGTGCACACCACCACAGCTGGCTAATTTTACAATTTTTATTTTGTAAAGACAAGGTCTCACTATATTGCCCAATCTGGTCTCAAACTCCTGGGCTCAAGGGATCCTCCCACCTCAGCCTCTGAAAGTGCTAGAATGACCGTCATGAGCCATCCTGCCCACTGTATCTTGAAGAACACTTGGCACAGGAGGCACTCCACAAATACCTGCTGAATGAATGAATGTTGTTTCATCTTACCCAATGTAAAGCATTATGGTTATTTTAAACCTAAAACTCAAATCAAAATATTTCACTTTTATAAGAAAATATTTTCTGTAATATTTCACATATTTTCATGATCTAATGAAATTTTCTAATGCTCTAAACAGCATCTCTATGCCCTCTATTTTTTTTTCACCGTAACAAATATTTAATGTGGCTCCAAAATCAACACCTACGAAGTTTAACTCTGCTCTCTACTCACCCTAACACTTCATTAGAGAATCTTTGGACCAAAGAGAACAAGGTAACAATTTTGGATAAAGTGGCATGCCAACTGCAAATTGATGTACTGCTTCAGTGAAACATACATGAAGAAAAACAGAAGGAAGCTATTCCATACTTAACGAAAAACTCCAAGTCCTGCTAAGAAAACAAAAATATCTTAGGTAGGAAAAAAAGTGACTGATGTTACTGGAAAAACAGATAACACATGACAACTCTAAGGAGGTCACCATTTTTTAGGAATTACTATCACTGATATAATTACTATCACTGACATAGCAAACTCATAGAGACCAGGTCTTGCCAAACTGCATGTGACATAAAATGTTTGGTAAAAGCTCCTGGAATCTGTTTATCCAACTGGCCACTGCACTTTGGGTTTCTTTTGAGCAACCCACCACTATTTTCAGAATCAGGCTTTCAGGCTACTTGTGTCACAGATAGGATAGTCTTTCCCTGGCATTTTAGGCTTTTTTAATTTTTATTTTTTGAGACAGAGTCTCATTCTGTCATCCAGGCGCGATAGCTCACTGCAACCTCTGCCTCCCAAGTTCAAGTGATTCTCATGCCTCAGGCTTCCAAGTAGCTGGGATTACAGGCACACACCACCACGCACAGCTAATTTTTGTATTTTTTAGTAGAGATGGGGTTTCACCATGTTGGCCAGGTTGATCTCGAACTCCTGACCTCAGGTGATCTGCCCACCTTGGCCTCCCAAACTGCTGGGATTACAGGTGTGAGCCACAGCGCCCGGCCGCATTTTAGGCTTTAAAAGCATACAGGAAACTGGTACCGCAAGCTTAGCCATGCAATTACTGACCTGATTAAAAATTTTGATACAAATTGTAAATCAGGCAACTTTTGAAGATGCAACTTCAAAAGTTCAACTGTTGTGAAAAATATTACTGTTACTATGAATCTATTTCGAGACCAATGAAGACTGAAGTAAGACCTAACTGTTGCCTTGCCAAATCCATTTCTCAATATAAATACCATGTAAAATTACACAATGGATTTACTCTAACCCTTTTTACATGGGAGTTACAAAAAGAAGCCTTTAAACACCTCTAGGGATAAATTTACTTTTCTCAGCCAAGTGTTAACAGCAATAAATGGAGGATTTACATGTAATCCCTAAAAGCAAATAGGCAGAAATTACCAACCAAGCTGTGACTTTTTAACTAAGCATTTTATTTAATCCCACTTATATAACAGGGCAATTTAAAGGGTGCCAGTTTTAAAAACATGAGATGTAAGTGCAAAATAGTGTCCCTCCTATTTTAAAGCTAATTTTCTAGGATTGTATATTCTAACAAATGTGGGTTGTTGTTTTTTTT